GAACTAGCTGGGAGAGGAGCATCTGCTGCTCCCATCTCCATCCGCCCACAGAGGTTACCAGGGTAATTTGTTTTTTTAAAAAAAACAACACAGAAGGGCAAGAAGCCCACAGTGTAACTAGGACAAAACAGCGAGCAGTGTTTGCTGGGGGTTTAATAATTAACAACAAGGTCAGCGCTGCGCTGGAGAGCAGCACAGAGGGGAAGGCACTGTAGGGGTGAGCCCGGCCCGCGGGACAATGCTCTGTGCCTCTGGACCAGTGATGCTCTGCCCAGAGATCGACTTGAGTGGCATCCCACCCTTTGGCAGAGGTCGTGGGAAGAGGCAGCTGGGGATGCCTTCCAGCCAGGGCACCAACCTGCTCCACATCGCTCTTCCCCTTGGGAAAACCACCCGGGAGCTGCATCCCAAATGACTGCCCGGAGCCAAGGCATCTCTCTAACGTTGCCTTACGCCGTGCTATCGCATATTCGTGTAAAATATTTGGGTCAGCCTTAGCCCTGCCTCTCCACAGACAGTGTACGAGTTCCACTCCAGGCACGGGTCTGCACCTTCACACCATATCCCCTGCCTGCCCCAAGCACCTGCTACCCAATGGCAGCGAGGTCCCTGCGTCATACCATGTGCCGGCGCTTCAGTGCACAACATGCCCGGGGCGAGGACAAGGCCAGGTACAAGTGAACCATCTGGTCCCCTGACTCTGGTGGCCTTCGTCCCGGGAACGGCTCCCCACAGGAGGCTTGGGTTGCCCTCGCCACGCAGCCACAGGGTCTCTCTCAGAGCATCCTTGAAAGCAGAGCAGGGCTACAGCCTCAGAGGCAGCACCAGCACTGAGCCCATGGCTGGCAGCCCCCAAGAAGTGCAGAAGTGCATTAGCAACGTGGCTGCATCCTAGGAAAATAAGTCCATTACGCCGGAGAGGAGCTGTTTATCTGCTCAATTGGCATCACAGGGTTATGCTGGCAGGTGTTGGCCATCCAACCACTCCCCACCATCTCCAGTCCTTCACCCTGTGTGCAGGATGCTGCATACTCTTCTAAGCCCCCCACATTGCTATCCTGGCACACAAGGTGGCACAGGGGCAACGCACAGCTCAGTTTTCCTCCACGCTTGTTGTGCCACCACCAGGAACATCATCAGCCGGGTCCTGCCCTGACCACAGTGCCCAGACAGGCTCCAGGGACTGTGACCCCCCCAGACAAGCTGCATCAAGCCATTAAAAATGGATTTCACCCCAAAGCCCTTCCCTTTGTTCCCAAGGCACCCGGCTTAATGCTCAGCAACGTGCCTGCTATTTGCCGTGCCACCCATTGGCCGGGGCAGCGAAGGCTTGTTTACCAGGGACTTACCAGAGAAGCCATCCCGGCTTCTTTTTATCACTTCTCTTTACATTTACCCTCACAGAGTAAACAGGGCCCATCTGGCCCTGCTGCGCTTTGCGCTGGCTGCTCTAAGCCCTGTGGTAATGAATAAAACCAGACCGACGGTCCTTGCCCCAGCCTCCTCATCCTCTTCCTCTGGCACAGCAAACTGTCCCCGGGTACCAGTTCAGCATCACCAACAGGTACGTGGACCATTCCCCATCCCCACTGTGGTTGCCAGTACCTTCGCAGCCCCCTCCTCTTCCTCCCTGCCCACAGGAGCTGGTTTAACCAGCAGCCCGATACGGGGGGGGCTGCAGCTGGAGCGGGGCTGGGGGCGGCTCGCTGTGCTGGCATCAAGAAGCCCTCAGCTATGGTGGGAAGGAACTAACTCTTCTCTAGGTCAGAAAAACTTAATGTTTCTCTTCTCGTCTGTGGGCAGGTTCAGTTTTTCCAGCAAGGCAGCTGCTGCAAGCCAGGCGCCTGAGCCCGGTGGACCCTCCTTAGCTGCCTGCAAAGTTGTCCAGAGTTTCACCTGCTGCAGCAACAGCTGCCTGCGCTGGGGTGCAGGGTGGTCCCAGGGAAGGGTGAGGCCAGCCCCGGCA